AAACTAGTAGCATTTGTAGTTCACTGTGAAGCACTGAGCCCGGGTCCAACCTGAACCACATGTTTATTTGAAATTCATCGTGGATTTGTTGCGTTTCTTTCCTGTAGACGAACGGCTTCTAGTTAAAAAATATATATTTTGGACTTATTTCCATTTTTTCAAAGAGCATAATTTAAAAAAAAACGGTGGCATAATTTGGAAAAAAGAGCGTAATGTTAGCATAATTTGACCAAAAAGAAAGCAATGCTACTAGCATAATATGCCACTTTTACTAGCATAATCTATAAATGCCTAGTCACAGATCACCAGCACCGGAAGTAAGTGTATCCAGCTCGAGTTTGTCGTAACCACTCGCCACTGATACACGCCTCTACTCAGGCAACAGCTGAACAACACATCCGTTATGACTGTCGGACAAGAGAGAGGTTTGAAACGTTTTTCAAACACTGACGATGTCCGTTACCAATCGTATGAGCAAAAAACAGCTTTTTGACCAATCAGGCCCTGCTCAGTTCTTAAGATTGTTGAAAACATTAAAAAAATATATAATAATGGCATACCTTTCACTTTTAATTGGTAATAAAAGAGGAACTGTTTTGAAGCTAGCTATCATTAGATGCACCTGCCCATTTATTCCTGAAAAATTAGAAAAAGACAGCGGTTCAGTAGGAAATCAGTTGGCATCAGTTTTTTTTTTCCTCGCATGAATATGTTCCCAGTCTCCGGTACAAGATGAATAGCTTGTCCTTGTAAACTTATAATATGCCTCGTTCTGAAAATGAAACAAGGTAGAACCTCTCCACATATTACCTGCAGCTGCTGAGTCAAATATCGTGGGAGCCATTGTTATAGAGTCATGCCCAGTACTCCAGTTTGCCACCAAGGGGTTAGAATAGTTTGGGAAGGTCATTAGCTGTGAAGGGTTCGCACTGTCCGAGCTGAAGGTCTGGAGTCCAACAACTACAAGTTAAAGAGAAAAATACCATGAAAAGCCAACACGAAAAAAACCATAACAAAAATAAAATAACAACAACAACAACAACAACAAAAACACAGGAAAACAAAAATTGATCAGAAGCAAAGGTAGATTTTTATTTAAGTCAGAGGAGGGGAAGAAGAAATATGAGCAGACGGATGAAATAAACTTACGAATGTTTTTTGTTATGAGTGGCTTGGAATTGGATACACTATATGACGCATTCATGACATGGTCTTGAACTGCTTTCACAAGGTCCAAAATGACCGGTCGGATGTTGTCGTCCTTGCTCTGAATGAGAGTGAATAGAATCGTTCGTAGTATCAGACAGTTAATTACTACTTCTTCTTTTAAAAAAGAACATATGGCTGAGTGGGGATGTTAAAACCCGAAAAAAACAGGCGTTGATGTTGTTTTATAGTGCATACTGGAGTGTATTCCGATTGAGTGCCTAAGAATCAAAGCCAAAGTATTCTCCTTGGCCAATAGGATAAAACTAAAAAACAAGAAAGAGCCAATGATACCCCAAAGAAAATTCAAGCGCACAGGTAGACACGAATGATCGAATCCCAAATGGTTGAAAGAGTTGAGTTGCGCAAGTTTTTTTTCAAGAAAATATTCCGGTAGGAGGTGAAAACAAACCTTGGACTTTTTTCAACACTTCATGGAAAATGTATCTTACAATGAAGCATTCATCGGGACTGCAGTTCAAAACTGAATGGCTACTGATCGTTCTTCCAATTTCTATTCTGACTCAAATCGCTCAATCAACGCCCGTAAAAAAATTAAAATATGTTTTTGGCGAGGTTTAGTTCTATTTGTTCTTTCCACATACCGTCATCTGCTGGGACTCGTCCCAGTCCCAATTGCTACTATCTTCTAGGACGTTGATACCTCTCTTGAAAAGGACTTCTGCATGCTACACAGGGTGAAGAAACGCCCATTTTAACTCAATTAGTTTGTCTTAAAAGGGAAATTTTGAAGATTGGTTTGAATACGATTGCTACAAACCTTTTGCGCATTGTTCCACTCCTGCTTGTTCTTGAGATCCAGAATATGGCTGCTGGCATTCACGAACAACTTTGGTAAGAAAAAGAACAGCATGGAAATAGTTAGACGTTGGTGAACCAAACGGTCTCTTTAAGAAAGAATTACCGACTTTTATTGATGCTGCTGAAACTGTATTTGCTATGAGCTCAATATGTTCCATTTAAAAATGTCGAAGGCCAGTGTTCTAGTTACAACTTATAAAAAACTTACTGTTTAAAGAAAAATGGTTGTTCGTCTTATCACGTGCGTAGGACAAACCTGAAATTCTGAGTCCCACGAGGAACTGAAACTCAAAACTTCGAATTTTGCGCTTAGATGCTCTACCACTGAGCGACAAAACCTCTGTGGTGAGCTAGACCACAAAAATGTTCAGCACTGTTGGAAGCGTCATATGCGTTTAAAAAGGGGAAAATGGGAGATATTGAGCTCGGTAATGAAAGACGTCTTCGTCTTGCGATGAGTAATCAAATCTTAGACCTTTAGATTCCGCGCTCTGATACTGTATATATACTACTGAGCGACTGAAACTCTATAGTAAAGCTAGGCCATTACCTATGTCTCATTCACCGACATTGACCTAAGGCCGATAGAACAGTTTCGATGCTCGAGTTAATTTGATCACTCTTAATTACAGGTTATTGTTACCTTTAGATCTTTCTCAGTTATCCGCGCTTTGCTCAATCGCGTAAACTTTTGCAGCTGTTGAAGGATCCCCACAGACAACAAAATATCTCCGCCAAACATCGGAACGACATGTTCTTCCTTTTTACCAGTTCCAAGAGGAACCACCGAATCATGTGTTTTGAAGTGAGGAGCGGGACCAGATATATCTTGGAGCTTTTTCGATAAATCGTCCTTAGACCCAACTTTCTTTTGTCCCGTGTGCACGGGTACGTCCTTTTCCTTAGAAATTGGGAGGGTCATCGGGGCTTTATTTGTGACCTTGTTGGTGGGCTGTACAAGACGAACACGAGGCGTTGTTGGGATGATTTGAATATTTTTCGTTAGGATTTGGTTTGTTTTAAGCTTAGTTCTCGATTCAGAAGATGGTTTCATAGAATTTATTGAGTTTTGTGAAGATTGCACCGCTGGGCTTTGAATTGGATTTGCTAGGTTTGGCCAACGCTCCACTGGTGTAGGCTGTCCACCCGCACCAATTCCAGGCTGTGTTCCGTATCCCAGACCATTTATGACTTGACTTCTACTGTTGGGCGCAGCCACGTTTACCGGCTGTTGGCCTGCGGGCGAGCGGCCCATCCCGAGTGATTGGTGGTATACATTCTGCCGCATGTAGCCTCTTTGATAAGGATTTAAAGCGGCCTGGTTTGGTGGACTTTGATAGGAGTGTTGCTGAGGTTGAAAGTAATTTCTTGGTTGTTGATAACTTGTACTGGGAATACCTCTTTGATTAGCGAGGTAGTTTAGTTGCGAGGGATTTTGATGGGAAGTATACCAAAGAGTATTTTGTCTTTTTGTTCGGTTACCACTTGCTTCACTTTCTCGTTTTCGTCTCCCGATGTCGAGTTGATCACTTAAATAGCTCGGAGGAGAGTAACCTCGTCCCCAGTTTCCTTGAGCTCGGTTGTTCTGCCAGGCTTGGCTACCTAACCAGCGGTAAGGATTCAGTGCATGAGCGTAACCGGGGGCAACTTGTGGATTTGAAGACTGATGAAGTTGCGACCTTTGTAAAGGGCTTTGTAACGATGGTGGGTTGTTAGGTTGTAGTCTATTCAAGCCCAAATTAATTTGTCTCTGACCATTCGAATACTGCACTTGAGATCTAGAAACAGCATTAGTTTGAATTCCAGGTGCACCGAAGACCCTCTGTTGTGGAACAACTGAGATCCGAGTAGGTATTCTGTTAACTTCCACAGGAATACCAGCCTTATTTCCGATGGACTGCGAGTTTACCGCTGGAGTTGATTGCAAATGAACACTAGCTGTCGGGAAATTTAAACTCTTTCCTTTGGAATCTGGATTTTTGCCGTTAAGCTTTGTTTTCAAATCAGAAAACCACACAGCATTGTCGTTTTTAGTCTTTTCCGTGGTGCCAACGGTTGGTAAAATTTCTGGTGTCCGTCTCGGAATCTCAGTCACGGGAACGTTTTTTGGAACTTCCTTATCAGACGAATTTTTCGCGTGAGGTTTGACAAAAGTTACCTTGTCGTGCACTTTAGAGGTTGACTTTCCTTTGCCCCTCTTAGCAGCCCGGATATTCTTCTGCTGATCGGACAGTACTTGGTTGTAAATCTCCTCACGGTAAGTATCTGTGAACACCAGTTTCTCTAAGCCGGCTATAACTTCACTCGCAGTGATTGGAGTAAAAGGTTCCTTATTTTCTGCTCTGGTGGCCAGATCTTTACTCTGTCATGGGGAGAATTCGTCGGAAGTTCACCATTTTTTTCTTATGTAATATCGGGGATGTATAAGGAACTGATCATTATTTATCACCGGGGGCCTCAGGGAGGGAGAGGGGGGGTCGTCAGACTTTGATTGTGTCATAATACAATTTTACTTGTTCCCCTTCTCCCTTATGTTGTGGGGTATTCTAACAATACCCCTTCATTGGCATTCAATTCTTTATAGTTTTCCCACGACTGGTCCTCCTAATCCGTTCCCCTTGGTAATCACGTGATACCCAGAATCCTCCAAACAGGTCCTTAAGTCAAATAATCGAGGAAATAGCCTTGCAATGATACTTACCTGTTTATGAAGATTTTTATATGCGGGGGTGACGCATTCGCTAAAGTTTGGTTCATGCCAGGTCGCGTTGGAGATTTCACTTCCAGCACAAAACCTTCTTGTTTGACCTAACAGTGAATTAAAAGGTAGATGTTTTAACTAATAGATCATTATAAATAGATAACTGCATGGGTAAAGACTCTGTTGAACGTGGGGTATAATGGCTCTGATATCCACATCCACATACGCCATTTTAGTCCACTATGTAACTTATTTGCAAGAATCATGCTTGCCTCTACTTTGCAGTGGATAAGTCCCCTAATGGCGTCTTAGCAATCAAAAGTAAACCAGCTTGTCTGAGTTGTCTCATCACTATCAACTCAGGGATGAGGCTAGGTGGTGTGAGCCCTGAGAGTCTGTTTATGATTACCCTGGCCTTGAATCAGTAGGAGATCGAAAGATCAGAGAAATGTTTAAATTCATTTCGCTTGAACTGCGCATTAGAGTGCTTTTCAATCAAGTGTCGTAAAACCAAGACCGAAGCAATCGAAACGGCCAATCAAAAGAAAGGAAAATCTATAGAAGAGCCAATGAGAACTAAAAAAACAACAACAACAACAACAACCAAACTATCTAAAGCGCGGGAAAACGCGGGCGACTAAGTCGTGATTGGGGTAAGTTTGGTATCTGATTGGTTGGGAGTGGCGCCAGTATCCTGGACCAATCACAGAGCAAAGTTAAGCAAAGCCAATTAAATTTCGGATAACTCTCAACACTCCATTGAAAATGGCTCTAATAGAAATGAAGATAGTTTCGTATGGCGATGAAGAATGAATTCGTCACCTTGAGCTTTTCGGGGACATGTCTGGTTGTCTGTAGTGTTGAACATCATCAATCTCCAGTTGATGTCATAATCGTACACAGCACTGCATACCAAATTAACTCCTGAGGAATAGAGAGAGATCAGACAGAGTGTGAAAGAGAGAGTGAGAAATTATAAATGGAAGCCATTAGATGAGAAATAACTTCAAAATCAAACCTTGATTTCTCCAGTTTAATCAACAGGGGCCTTGAGTTGGGTTTGTCCAGGCTGTTGCATTTTCGAGAAATTTTCGTTCAAATATGAGGAAAATATGGAATTAAGGTTAAGCCAATCGGAGGATAGCGCTCGTACCCCAAGCGCACAGAAGAGTATATGTCATTGCGATGTCAGAGAGATGCATCAATTTGAAAGAGACGATTCATTCGCCTGCACATTCTGGAAAAGGACTCTTTTAATTTCGCCGCTTTGCTTACCGGTGGAGGTGATGAAACGAAAACTTGTATCGCTGACGGAGAAGCTTAACGGTGTTCCATCAATGGAGGATTTTAGCTGACCAGATTTGACTGCAGCCACTAAAGGAGTGAGTACTTCTGATGCTGTCGATTTTTCTGATGCTGTCAATTTAAGATTTGACATCACTGGGTTAGACCTGACGACGAAAAAAAAGTAGTGTTGTCAGTTTGGACGATTACCTTTCCGAAAAAAATAAAAACAAGAATACAATTTCTGATATAGTCGCAAACCATATTAGTAATCTGTAACTCTTTAAATGGAGTTATGTTAGATTAAAAAAAATTGGGATTTTCTCAAGAGTTCTCGCGATAAAGCAGGTATAGAGTCTTCCACAGATCCATCAACCTTTGATTTTGCTATTTGCTGTGAAGGACACAATCGGCTGTCTAACAAATGGTGTGGGCTTCGATAAATTTTCGAAAAAAAACAGCTGAATATGTCGATTGACTCTCTAGGCAATAGCTAGGAATCTGTTTGACTGTATTTCCTAAAATTAAGATAACTGAGGTGATGTGATGAGCTACCACAGTTTCGGCTTTCGTATTTTTCACCTTTTTTTCCTCCCATGGAAAATGCCAAGAAATCGGTCGCCATTTCCATTATTATAGGAGAGGTTTAAAGGAAAGAAAAGAAGCTCTCACCATCTGCGTTCAATCGATTTTCACTTAAGAGAAAATAATTGCATCAACTGTAAACAATATTTTTTTGCTATCTCTCTTTTTAGCCTATTCTTGTTATTTGCTTAAACATCTTACCTGAAACTCCATGATGTAACCTAATCCGGCAATAACAGCAAGATATGACGCAATTATAGACCAATCAGAGTGTTGCAGTTCTCTGTTATCAAGTGAACAATTTTTACTTTGAATAAAGACCATTACTTACTGGAAAGAAATAACTTCTGCTGTTTTGTATGATGGTACGTTGACAAAAACAGACGAAACCTGTCAAATTGAACAGAACAACAAAATAGTCGGTTGTAGTACTCGCACACCTTTGGAATTCACAAATGTTGCCAACTCAGTCACATCATAACCCGGGTTCATTTACTCCTTTCTTTTTATTCTCTTTCTTTTGGTTTGTTTTGTCTTGTTCTGCCTTTTCATCATAATTTATTTGGTTGTTTTTACGTCGCACAGAGATATTTGTCGTTAACTACGGTTGATATTACTTTGCAGCTTGGCACGTTTTGCTGACAACCACCTTACCAACTTACCAACTAGCATAATTCAGACATTAAAATTATTTTTCGGTCTTACCGCAACTTGAAGCTTTTCTGCCAGGTTAAGAAATTCAAGAGATTCTATGTCTTTCAGCCGATCTGAGAATACTTGATCTGTGAGTGTTAAAAACACCTTGTACACTTTCCCTGTGGAGAAAAAGTGACTGTCTCTAACGTTTCTGATGCCGATAAGAAATACAACGATGGATAACGTATTGATATTGCGGGTGGAAGGTCAAAGATCTTTGTGTCTAACTGAAGATTTTCGTAAAATAGTTCACCTACCTGAAGGTACTTTACTTCCTGGAATGCCTTGCCTTTCTGAAAAATCAACAAATGCACAAAGCACTGACTTATTGAAGAGTAAATATCTTTCTGAGGTGTACTTCATCAATTGTAAAGTTAGAACCATTATCTGTACCGCGTATTCAACCCAACCGAAAGCTACGGCAATACTTGACTGCAGCAAAAACGACAGAAGTAAAATTTCTGATAGGAAAGTACTTACTTTCGTTTCCAGGATTAGTAGGTTTTCCCGTGAGGAGTGTAAGCTGGGATTGAATACCTTTCGATGGCTTTCTAACGGTAATACACTTGTCAAAACATGATACCGAGTAACAGTGATCGCCAAGTAACCAAGCCACCTGACAACTTTGACTTGCGCAGCACTTTTGAATGCAAGAGTGCATGTCTTTTGCTCCAGGAAGCAGTTCAAATTTTCCCGCCTTGTATCCGCCTTTCAAACTAACGCCACTAAAAATCGCACCGTGCAGGCATAAGCCTCCATTTATAGTTGAGGTTTTCTTTTTAACTCTCTTCTCTCTCATTTTTTCTTCGTCTGCCCCGTTCGTTGAACGTGTTACGAACGCTAACTGCGGGTCCAGTTTCGACTCGTGCGCGGGAATTATCTTACAAAGTTCAGGTTTATAACAGCGCAATGTATAACAATGACTGTTCAACAACAACGAAACATCGCAAGTTTTCTGCTCGCAACAATGTTTGACACACACATTAATGTCAGGTACTTGTCCGTAATCTGAAAAATCTCCTGACTTAAGCCCTGAGCGAAGAGTAACTTTGTGAAGGATTCTCCTTGCTCGACAGCTGTTAGGCTTTGAAGCATCAATGTTTCCGTCCTTTGGAAGTTTTGATTCCAGTCGCACAACCGTTTTTGTTGGAAATGAATCTTGCAGTTCGAATTCTGTTTCTTTTTCTTTGCTTTGGTATGATTTTACTACATCACTCTCATACTTGTTTTTGATTATTTTTGATACTCTTAGCTTGTGAGAATTATGCTTTGTAAAACTACTGTTATTTTCACCCTCACTCTTTTTGTTTCTGTCCTTTCCTTGAAAAGTGTCCAACAAAGACCTTGTTATCAAGGTAACCGCAACATTATGGCGAGAAAAGTTTTCATTTTTCAGTCGGCACATTTTTTCACTTTGGCACTCAACGTTGTAGCAAAAATCGTCCACAGAGAAGGCAAGGTCACAGTTCCGTTGCTGGCAACACAGCTGACCACAATGATTGACGTCCTTGACTCGACCCAGTTTCCAAAACACTCCCGAGGCACTACCAGCACGCAATGTTACATTGAACTTTGGAAGGTTTGGCTGGCAGGTGTGCGCCTGCGTTGCAGGGAAGGCACTCTCTGTAAGCAAAATATAAGAAAGTATATGTTGACTCAGTAAAGACCTATGTGGTTTTAATTTGATTAAATCAGGTGCAACTGATTTACAAGGAGTGATTGATTTACACACGCGAGTGATCGAGACGTCGTGCGTGCACGTCTCGAGATCTTTCCCAAGGAGCACTTCTTCTCGAGTGTCGTTTATCTCTCGCGCATGGTTCTTGCGTTCCTGCCAAATGCATGCTACCCAGTTTAATTTTGGATAAGAGTCTTGGTAATGGAAAGAAGAGCATGTATAAGTATCATTTCGGTAAACAGCTAATATCACAACCAATTTAGCAGTGTATCGGTTGCCCAAAACCTAAAAACATGAGTAAATCACATCAATCTGGAATCCACCAGAGCGCTTAGACACGCGTGAAACTTCGAAGACTTGCGTGAATTTGTCGATGCGTGGGTGGGTTCGTGCAAATCATTTAACTAGTTGGAAATTTTAACCAAGTGAGCTGCACTGCGTACAACGAAACAAATATTTGTTATTTGATTTACAGCGTTCCAAGCAACCAGTTAAATTGTAAAATGTTAAACAGTGACACCACCTAACGCCTGAAGTATTTTAATTTCTCCCAATTCTCGGCTCTTACAAATAAGACGTTTTTTGTTTTCATTACACTAATTATGTCATTGTGGTATTTTTGTAAAATTTGCGGAAGTAAAAATATTTTGATTTTTTTTTTCTTTTAAGTACTTTCATAATGAATAACGACTTCTTTTAGCCTAGAGTTACTACCTCAAACTCTGTCGCAGAACAGCGCAAGACACTTTGTAGTTTGAAAGGATTTAACTTGGAACTACAGGTTCTTAAACCTGTGCCAAGTGACCCATTAAGGATACTGCCAAATTTGACAGTTATGTCATCGTACATTATACAAACACAAAAAACCATGGTCTGAAAGGCCTTGTTGGATAAAATATGATGGGCTTTGAGAAAGTTTTGCGTGGAGGCTGTATCAAAGTTAGAAATTCTGATCAAGGATTTCGTTGAAGATTCCTTTCAAGTTACAATTTGCATAAACCTTTCAATTTTGAAACAATTAAACTTGCAGTGAAGACTATACGATAAGTGATTCTGTAGAGATGATTCGTACGAAATTAAAGAAACCAGTTTTTTTTCCATTTGTAAAACGTTTCACCTTGAATACTTTCGATCGAGAGCCATACGATTGGTTCCTTTTTTGTTACATACGTTCTGTATTTAACTTAAACCACAATGTTTACATTTTCAAGAGCCTTTGAAAGTTTTTGTTTAAATAGAGTCATGTTTCATTATATTTAAATCTACAAATGGTCGTAAAATGTCATCGTCGCTGTCAGTTTTCCTGTCTAATTCACACCACGAATTCATTCTTTCAAAATTAGTGAAACGGGTATCTGCATTGAAAGGGTCTAATTTGTTTATGGTTCACTTAAAAGTACCTGGTACCTGTTCAAAGATGTCAGAAAACACAGAAACGCCACTTCAACGTCTATTCGTACGTGAGCTGAATCAAAAATCGAAAGGTCATATCGGGGTTAAGCAACTATAGCAAACGTTAATGTTGATAAAAGGAAAGCGTGGGATAGCAGTTTTATTGTTTTAAGTTCCAGGATCACCTATTGATCACTGATTCATCCCGTAGGCGGCAACAATATCGTTGCCTAGCGAATGAGTGAATACTGATGGTTGAAGACTGACAGGGCTACTTTCAAAGTTGCAACTTTTATATTTCAAACGTTTCAAATCATCGAGGCCCCAAGGCAGTCATTTCAGAGGGAAAGAAAGTAAGGAAAATGAACTTGTATTTGTTTTCATTTCATGAGACGACTTCCAGTTACGATTTCGTTTTTTAGTAAAACTCAAACCATGAACACGTGCAAAAACGCCAAAGGCTAAAATACTTATACGTGAAAATATATGTTTTGCGTGCTCCTGATATTTCGAATAAAGTCTTCAAAGTGGTTAATTCTGCCTGTAATAAAAAGGCAAAATGTTTTCGAATTTCCCGATTCACCAAATCAAAACACGCCCATTCGGAGATGGTTTTGACAACACGGAAAATAAAACCGTTTGTATCGTCAAAATTCCAAGTTTAACTCTATCGAAATGTTATAAAGTTGAAAAATTACCTGATAGAAAGCCAAGGAAACTGAGGAGGAAAAACAAACAGCCTGTTATGCTGGGGTCACTGCGAACAACAAGGGTCGAAAGTGCTGTACTGGCCCTCCTTCCAGGCATAGAGCAGAAAAACTGGACCGAAACCACTGCGAATCATGAAAGCTCTGTGGGACCAGTCGTATGATGTCCTACCGAAGGTCATTTGCGACGGCAGCTTCTTCACAGACCGAAGCAGCCATGAGGCAAAATTATCTTAGAAGTGAACCATTTTTCATAAGATTTTACGGCGCTTCTTCGATGGAGACCACTTCTACGCGAAGGATCATTAACCGACAAGCTCCATCGCTTTGCATTAAAAATTGATTGTATTCATTGAAGGAAAACGCTTATGATGTCATTCGCTAAACACGGTTATGAGAACGCGGGAAATCAACTTCTAACATTTTTTGCGGTGTATAAACAAAATGGGTTCCTTCGTAAGGTTTGTTTCATTCGCGTCTCCGTCAGATTTGACGTGAAATCGTGAGGACCACCTGTCATTTCCATGTCAAGTTGGTCAAATTGCTTTGGTCACGTTTAAGGCGAACCATAACCTCACCGTGTGTATCTCTGCGTGACGTTCTCCTTAAAAGACATTGTTAGTGCTTACCCAAGCTCGCTCGTGTTTCTTCGTCTGAGATGCGATCGACAAAGATCTGGGTACAACGTATTCGACAAATTTCTTGAAAGAAAATGTTATATTTTAATCATAATTTAAAGAGCTAAACCTTATGTTTATCTTTCTCTTAGGATCGCTATATGAGTTAAATGAAACAGGTTCGACAAAATCTTTGAAATGCAATTGTGTTTATTCGTCTCGTATTCGGTACTAAAAACAAAAATAATAAAACAAAAAAACTACAGTGCAAATTACTGATATTTCATTTCACAATCTGTTGGGCCGACTTTTAAAAACAAAGTTTAACCCTTATTCGTCTAAACCACATTCTAAAAAGTATTAAGTCAAGCAGAAAATATCACCAAAACCTTAAGATTATGCGAAATTGTCAAAAGGACTTACATTTAGCACTAACCTGAGTAAGAAATGACTAGTTAAAAAAATCATGACGAGGAGCTTTCAAAGTCTACTTATCATCAAAAACTGCGGTCAGAGTTTAAAAGTCAATCCCATAAGTTCTCAACATATATTTTTGATTCTCAAAGCTTTCAATTTAATTTAAAACTCCTTAACCTTGAACAATTTACAGATTTATAAAAATAGAGCTCTCATACAACAAATTAAGAATCTTTCAGATAAACAATCTAACGTTACAGAAGGTCAACTGAGTTTAAGAACGTAATTGGCTACAGGCAATCAGCTGAAACGGACTTTGTTCTGTTTTCTAAGAAACTGAAATGAACCCTTGATTCAATGTCGCACGTCACGTAAAAATATCGTTTGTACTTATTGTCGATACTGATGGCGTCTCTTTTGGTAAAGCTCATGAAACATGTTACTTGCTCGATTTGTCACGATACCTTCACCGAACCCAAAACCATATCATGTCTTCACACGTTTTGCTGTGAGTGCTTAAAGAGACATGCAATAATGAGCCAGAGACAAGGGAAATTCCGATGCCCTGAGTGTCAAGCAGAAATCGATTTACCAGAAGGAAATCGCTTCGATCGTTTGCCCAACAGCTTTTTTCACAGAACTTTGCTTGGTGACCTTGAAGCAGAAGATCGCGGAGCTGTGCCGAGGCTGCAATAGGAGATTTGCTTGCAACACGAAGAGGAAAGAGTACGATATTTCTGTTACCGGTGTGAGGTGTGTATTTGTTTCAATTTGCGTGACCGGAAACCACCGTGGCCATAAGTTCGAAATACTTGAAAAAGTAGTAAACAAGGAAAAGAAGTACATCATGCTCAATGTTCTGTCCATCAAGGAAAAGGCAAACTTATTTCGAGAAGAGATTAAAAAACTGGACGAAGAATCTGAGTTTGTTGAAATATTGATCGAAATGGCTAAAGAAGAAGTGTCTTGGGCAGCTGCAAACGTGATCGCTAAGACGCGACAGCAAGAAAAACAACTGTTAGAGTCCCTAGAAATGACGCGTAGGAAGAGAATCAACCGAATTAAATCGGCTAAAAATAAAGTGGAATCTCTGGTGAAACACTTGAACGAAGCAGCTGAATCTGCCGAAAATCTGGTGTAGAGAAGCTCAACTGTGGATATCATAGAGAACAAAAATAGTTTGAGGCAGAAATTTGAAGAGCTTCGCGGAGTTGAAGTTCCAAAACATCGCCAGACTACATTTGTCAAGTTTTCCGCGGTACGCCATGACAACATTAAACTGGGTTCTATTCGAGTCTCCCAGAAACGGGCAATTGCGGCTAAATCAATTCTGGAAGGACTGGATCAAGCTTTCAAGGCTGGTGTACCAGTAGATTTTACGTTGTGCCCAAAGACATCAGGAGGAGAGATGAGTGACCAGGATGATCTTAAAGATCAAGTCCAATTGCTGATAAAACCCGCCAAAGATGTAACAAACGTGGCTGTCGAGGAAAAAGATGACGGAAATGTTAGGTTGATGTTTGCTCCCAAAGTACCTGAGGCCTACAATATTAAAGTGAACATTAATGGCAATACACTACCTACCTGTCCCATGACCGTGCAGGTCAAATAACGTGAACTTGTTGTGGTCGGTGAGTTGAATTTAAAGTTCTTTCCATGACGTACGTTTAAAGGATTATATGGAATTACTGTGAATACGAAAGGCGACATAGTTGTGACAGATAACGATGGCCACTGTGTTTATGTTTTTGATAAAGATGGTAACTGTTTGAGAGAAATTGGAAGCGAGGGTAGCAATTCAGAACATTATCAAGCTCGCTGGGAACATTTCGTTTTTAAATGACAACGAAGTCCTAATTGCAGAAAGCATCCATGAGAGAATGCAACGACTTCATTTTCAGACGGGAAGTGTGGTGAATAGTTTTGGAAGAGGCGGTGTAGAAAAAGGGGAATTAGGTACTCCAGTAGACATTGCTGTGGATGATGCAGAGCGCATTGTTGTAACTGAGCTTGACAATTGTAGGATACAGGTGACGTGAAAGGTGGGTGGGGACCATGGCCCAGGGAAAGTCAAGTGGCCACCCTTCTGTATTCCTTGCAGAGACATTTTTTTCGTATCTGATGGAGGCAATCATTGCATCAAAGCTTTTGATCAGTCAGGAACATTCATATACAAGTTTGGCAAACAAGGGAGTCAAGATGGACAATGTGACTGTCCACATTGTTTGCTTGTGGACAACTCCGATAATGTCCTTGTATGTGACCGTAAAAATAATCGAGTTCAGCAGTTCTCTTTGAACGGTCGCTTCACAGGCAAAAGTATCACTCATTTATCAGCACCTTATGCGATAACAACAGCGCCAGATGGGCGTATCTTTGTGACCAGCATTATTCGGGCAGTGTTGATGACGCTTGACAAGTTGCCATCTATCCGTGGAGATCCCGTATGAACCGATACACGGTGAGAAAGCTGGGATTTTATAAAGTTCTCGGAGGCTATTCGGTTGTGGGTGAGAAGAAACCCAGTAGAGGCAGCGGGTCGAACAGAGCGCGAGCAAGAACCATCCGCGAAACGGTCTACACGCACGACCAGAGTTTACTTCTTACTATGACAGAAAAGTGGAAGCTAGCTATGGACAAGGGACAAATTGTTGGGGCTATTTTCATAGACTTCCAAAAAGCTTTTGACACTGTCTCACATGAGATCCTATCTTTCAAGCTCCATACAGTTGGTATCTCTGGCCCATTACATCAGTGGCTAATGAATTATCTATTTGATAGATATCAATACACAGAAATAAACAGCAAATGGTCGGCTCTTCTTCCTATTAAATTCGGTGTCCCTCAAGAATCCCCGCTCGGCCCAAGATTTATATACCATCTATACCAATGACC